GCAGCAGCGTTCACGACGGCCCAATTTCCGAGATCGCCCCAAGACGGCCCAAGAGGCCCCCAAGAGGTCTCCAAGACAGCCCAAGAGTTCCCCAAGACTGCCCTAAGACGGCCCAAAAGAAACTCCGAGGCCCCCAAAGGCTCCCAAGAGAGACGCACGAGGACCGTGGGACGTCCCCAGGAGGGCCCAAGATGGTCCCAAGAAGTCTCGTAGAGGGCCTAAATTCCCCAAGAAGGCACGGCCCTAGAGGGACCCAAGACGGCCCAAACGGGATTCAAAAGGACCTCCAAGACGGTCCAGAGAGGCGTCCAGGAGGCCTCCAGAGGTCCCCAGAGACTTTGAATTCGTGAGGGCCACAAGAGGTTATCCAACGAGGAGCCTCGGCAACAGACGTACCCGCCCATGCTGCATCGCGGACGTTCGTGAGCCATACGCTATATATAGCTTACACCGGTTCTTTCTCTTCGCATAGTTTCCACAACGCGGTTCCCAACATGTTGTTCATACCACCTGTTTTGCACCATGTAGTCCACATCTTGTAGGTACCACTACGTCGCCCGCATTACATAGTTTGCATACCATGCTATTCCATCACATAACTAACACGGAAGAGCTTTCACCGCATAGCTCACACCACATGGTTGCCACAATCTCTCTCTTCAATACTTCACGATTCGGGATTTACGATGACTCTTGTAGTTGTTCGCTTTATGCCGTCGGGAGCCGCTGGAAGCCGTCAGGCTTCTTGGAGCTTCTGCAATCTTCGGAAGTTAGGGTTCGACGTCGACCTCCAGAAGCCGTTGCAACCCAGCGGAGCTGAAGAACAGACCCTGGAGTGGAGAAAACGACCACCAAGAACAACTTTTCCTCCATAACGGTAGGGTTACATCGTGTCGACGCGGTGGCGTTATTGGCGCGGGCGTTCGGAATGAACGCGGCCACGCAGCCAGTGGTCAGGAATCGGTCGGTGTTGAATGGGAATGCGCGATCGTTCACGGTTGAACGACCCAAGCGATGTCCAAAATCGGCGCGCAGGCCGTTACGACATTTGCCAGCGCAGGATCTAGCGAAGAGGGCACGCGATTCTGGTTCAAGGTTTTCTCGGAGCCTCCAGGTGGCGTTTTCGTCGCCACGTCATCGGGTCCGCCTCGAAATTCGAATCGCAAGGCACCCCAATAAAAATTCGGGTGGCGCGCGAACATGTAAACCGACGGCGAGAGCAAATAAGGAACGGGTAAGGGGATTTGAAAGGAAACGGCCAAATGCCAAGGCCAGAGAGGGCGACGTCAAGTTCCAACAGATGCGAAGCTTGACGGACCAAGGTACGTGGCAGCGGAGCGCCAACGCAGTCTTGTATATATACATCTACATACTATGACAGAGTATCATATAACATATTGCATGCCGATTTTTACATAAAATAAATTACGATCAGTTCTGTATACTATATGAAATCACGTAATACAACATACTATGATATAGCATAATTCAAAACCATACCATTCAAATTGTCATAATATAATCCAATACACATTCATATGATATACTGTAGCATATCATGATACGGCCGATAATATGATATAAACGTAGGTGTTTATATACATATGTATCTACCTACTATGCATATGGCGAGCTTGAGAAATAAATCGCGTTAGAGAGTCTAAGGAGTTGGCATCTCTTCCTCAGCGGAAGGTGGCAGAAGGTTGGCGGAAGGTGTCGGGCTTAAAACGAGGATATCTGCGCTGGCAGACGGCCAGCGGAAGCCGGCGGAAGTAAAATATGCACCCCCGAAAGATGGTAACATTTGTGGGTTCAGGATTTTCAAAACCCACAGTAGACCTAATGTACATCTACATCCCCTAAAAAGTGCTTGCACCTAGGCTTTCTCATGAAGGAACTGGACCCGTTTGCCGCCCTGGTGGCCCTGTTCCCGTCCGTCGCCGCCCCAGTTGGGCCCGAGTGCAACCCTGGCGGTCCCGTTCCCGTCTGTCGCCACCCCATGGTTCTCACTTCCCGCCCGTCGCCACCAGCCCGTTGCACTCCCCGCCCCCCCGTTGCATTGCATTCGCATTCCATCGTTTTGATGTACAGTGCAATCGCATTGAATTACACTGCATTGCAGTATCATTGATGTGCATGTGCATTGCTGTGCATTGCATTGTACCGCTTTGCATCGCATCACACTGCTCTGCATTGTTTTTGGTGCATTGTTCTTTGTTTTGAATTGCTTCGCGTTGCGTTGCTTTGCATTGCGTTGCGCTGCCTCTGCGTCACTTTGAATTGTGTGGCATTGCTTTGCGTTGCATTGCTTTGCATTGCGGTTCATCGATGCACATTGCATTGTATTTATGTGCGTTGATGTGCATCGCTTCGTATCGCGTTGTAGTGCTTTGCATTGCTTGGCATTGCGTTTTATTGTGTTGCACTGCTTCGCGGTGCTTTGCATTGTTTGTGCCAGACAGATTGCACCACATTGATTGCACCACCTAGATTGCACCAC